AAGGATGAAGACAGGCCAATTAAATTATCTTGGGCCAAGATAATATTAGACATTGGGCCAAAGGCATTACTCAAGTTGGGCCAACATATTAATATCAATGGGCTGAAAAAATATTAATAGAAGGAGAATGGGCTTAGGATTCAGTTCGAATTGGTCCAAAGATTAATCTCAAGCTCGATTACGAAATGCGACAATACGAATAAAAAATAAAACCGGACATTATATACATATAATACAAACACTAGCACATTTTAATAATAACAAGCATTTAAAATTTAATTAGACATTTAAAATAATACTAATAATAATAATAATAATAATAATAATAATAATAATAAAGACAATTTAATAATAGCGGATATCAATATTTATTCCTGAATAATCCACAATAAAACGGGGTATTACAAACAGCTTCACCCCAGAATGGCTTAGGTAGTTTAGCCATTCTTAACATACACCTCACTTTCTCCATAATGGTTCTGTTGATTCTTTCAGCCACACCATTATGTTGTGGGGTTCCAGGTACAGTCTTCTCATGCCTTATGCCATGCTCGGCACAATAATTCTTGAATTCATGGGAAGTATACTCCCCCCCATTGTCCGAGCGAAGACACTTCAAAGGTTTACCAGTCTGTCTATCCACCATAGCATGAAACCTTTTGAAGTATTGAAAAACTTCACCCTTCGTTCTCAAGAAATACACCCACAATTTTCGTGAAGCATCATCAATAAACGTCACGAAATATCTGCTACCACCGAGACTCTCCACTTCGATGGGTCCACATACATCAGAATACACCATCTCCAACACATTCTCTTTCAGCTTCGAGGTTTTGCTGAAAGACACTCTATGATGCTTCCCAAAGAGACAATAATCACAAGGATTCAGTTTTGAATCTTTGGCAAATGGGATGAGGGACTTTCTTGCCAAAATTTGTAATCCTTTTTCACCAATATGAGCCAGTCTTTTGTGCCACAAATTTGGCGAAGCATCATCTTCGACTGCATTCAATCCACCCTTGATCAGCTTCACTTGAGTTCTGTACAGTGTCGATCTCACTGTACCTCTAGTAGGGATGGCAATGGGGACCCGATCCCCGATTACCCGTGGGGAATTCCTCTATTAGGGGATGGGGATGGGATGAAATCTTCCCCCATGGGGGTGCTAATGGGGAGAAAATCATCCCCGACGGGTAAACGGGTATGGGAATGGGGAACCAATCCCCGTCCCCGTTTACCCGCGGGGACCCGTTAAGCTAGTATACATGCTAGTTATTCCAATATATTTATACATACACATGAATGATGATGTAATTACATGAGAATATATTAAATATGTAAACATAATATCATATTATGTATGTAATGTGATAAATTGAAATCATATAATGTGATGTTATGCCACCTACATAGTATAAATAAAATATATATCAATAACAATTAGCGGGTATGGGGATCCCCGATGGGGATTTATCCCCGCGGGTAATGGGGATGGGGAGAAAATCCTCCCCGAAAGCATAAATGGGGATCCCCATGGGGAGAAAATTCTCCCGCGGGGATGGGTATGGGGAGTCAATACCCGATGGGGAATTCCCCATTGCCATCACTAACCTCTAGCAGCTAACAATGATCCTTTGGTAAGCCTCCACATGCCGCTATCAAAATTGTTAGTATAGCCTGCTAGATCCAGTGCGTGCACAGAGATCAGATTCAGACGTAAGTCTGGTATATGTCGTACGTCCTTCAGTGTTATTGTGCACCCAATATCAGTTTGAATGCACACATCACCAACTCCCACAATATTGTCAATGTTGTTGTTGCCCATCATTACTCTACCAAAGTCTCCTTCTTTGTATAGAGAAAAGAATTCCTTGTGAGAGGTTGCATGGTATGATGCTGCTGAGTCAATGACCCATTCAACACATGAATCTGCAATGT